AACAACTAGCACAGGTGTCAATCTGTGAGTCAGTTCACCCAAATATTAATCTCACACAGAAACATTCTCAGACATACTCAGCATGTTGGACCAGACAGCTGGGCACCCTGAGGCCTAGTCACATATGTTGACCAGCATGCATACAGCGGTAGCTACCCCTCACCGAGCACCTCCGAGGTGCCAGCCACTTGCCTGAGCATTTCCCACACCTATCACTACTCTGTAAGGCAGGTATTACCCATGTTATTAGCTGATAAATGAGTTTCACAAATTCAACAAACATGTCCTGGGTCATTCAACCAGGAAATAACAGAACTCGGTTCTGAATCCAACACACAGCATGTGTCTTTCACAGGACCAGAACCAAAGAGACATTGTATATGAAAATCTGTAAAAGTGTGGATCCAGGGGCCAACGTGTGGCTCAGATTCATACAATATAACACACTGCTTGGGAAGCTGAGGCAGGAGGATCTGAGGCCAGCCTATGCAACCTCGTGGGACCCTGTATCACAATAAAAACTAAAAAGAGGATTTGGGATGTAGTGCAGTGCTAAAGTATCTGGGTTCAAGGCCCAGTACTAAGAGCGAGAGAGAGAGAGAGAGAGAGAGAGAGAGAGAGAGAGAGAGAGAGAGAGAGAGAGAACACGGAGAAACCACTCATGCTATGGTACAAAGGTTGTTTGATGAGTATAGTAACACATGCAGTGCTGCATGCAGACATTCTGATTCGAGACCTGGAGTTGAGCCCAAGTCCATTCCGGAGGCCTCTGGTTCTGAGAAGCCCTGCCCAGTAACTCTGGGTTATGTTCTCCACAGGGGCCTGACCAGAGTGGGTATGTGCTTTCCTGAGGCTGACATGGCTTGTGCATCATTCACGAGGTGTGATTCAAAGATACAAGATCCACTTTTTTTTTTTGTTATAGTAACAAGACATTCCCACTAACTCCTGTCAAAATCCTCCTCGTCTAGGATCAGGGATACAGCTCAGTGCATAAGTGCCTGCCTGGCAAGCACAAGTTCCCAAGTTTGATCCCCAGTATAAAAAGAAAAAAAAAAAAAAAAATCCTCCTTCCACACACCTCCTATCATTCTGACGCTTTCTGAAGCAGTTCTGAAGTCCACGTCTGTGTGTTTAGCTGCACTGTTGTGGTTGCCTTGATGTCCTAAACTGATGTGAAATGTTTATCTTTCATGGTCTGCAGGGGTTTTCTCAGGCAGGCTGTTGCGTAGAGCTCAGACCAGCCTTGAGTCATGAGGCTCACAGCAAGGCTCTTGCCTCAGGTCCCGAGTGCTGGGATCCGGGGTAGGCCCCCACCCCTGGCATATTCATTGTCCTTTTGACTGTGGGGATGATCTTCAAGTCCCATGGTGCCAGATCTGGAGAATGAGGTGGATGAGGACACACTGTCAGGTTTTTACAGCTCTTTCTGTTGGATGGCGCTTGGCAGCCGCATTCGCCATATTTATCACACCTCAGAGAGATAGCCGTGAAGAGGATTTCTAGAACTGCTTTGCAAAGCGGCAAGAAGGATGGAATAAGGGCATTTGACGGGATAAGGGGAGGGTTTTGAGGGGGATTACAGCAATGTGTATTTTACTGTAATAATTTTTTTTCAGGTTTTTGAGATAGGGTCTCCCTATAGAGTTCACACTGGCCTTGAGCTATGTTGCCTAGGCTGGCCTCCAACTGGTAGTGATCCTCCTGCCTCAGAACTCCTGAACACTGGGATTACAGGCTGTGCCATCACACTTGGTTTTTACTGTAATCAATTTTTTAAAGTCATATTTTTAATACTATCTCTTAATTTCTCAGAATGGGCTGCCAACTTGAGGATGGCATTCTTACATCTGTGTCTACCCTACTATATCCCAGGTTGCGCTTGAATGTCCCTGGTTGAGAAACTGCATCCTATATAATGGGTCTCACTTCCAGATTTTAAGTGTCTGAACAGTACTCCATTTAGTCCTGAGTAGACCAAACGGCCTATTGGCCCCCCACTTAGAGGGGTTTCAAGCCACATTCTTTGTAACCAAGAGTCAGCTTCATACTTCAAGATTTCTGGTTTCACTACACCTTAGGGCTGGATGGATCCCCACTGGGATTACCCCTAGCATCCCAGATGCTATCCTTGCCAAGGGTGTGACCCTAGCTGATGGGACAGGAGGGCAGAGATTTCTTTAGGCAGGACGGGGGGGCTAGCCTTCCCTGGATCATAGCTCTGGCAGTGTGTCGCCAAGGGCTGGTGTGTTCAAGGGTTGGTCCCCAGCACTCCTGGGAAATGGCAGAACTTCTAGGGAGTGGGACATAGATGGAGAAAGGTCACGGGGTGAGGTACTCTTTCTCCTTCTCTTTGCTTCTTGGCTGTTATGAGGTGAAGTTTCCTTCCACTGTCTGCTACCACCACAACAGACTGTGCTATGAGTCCCAAAGCAAGAGTTCATCAGCCACAGGCTGAACCCCCGGAACCCTAGCTCACCCATGAGCTAAGGGAGCCCTTAAAGGTTATCTCCTCCTGATAGACTTTATCTCAGGTATTTTGACAGAGTGATGAAAAGCTGGCTAAGACATGCTCCTTAGACTCCCGCAGCAATTACTCCCAAGGGCCACTGATTGCTCTGAATTCGCCAGTAGGATCATAAACCAGCAAGGGACTATGTGCTCAGTACAAACCAGGTACGAAAAGTATAGCACCCTCACATGGTCTCCCAGCGGTGATGTTGAAATTCTCCATTAAAACTTAGTCAAAGGGCCAGCCAGCTAGCTCAGCCTATTAAAGCGCCTGCTTAGGCAGACACAATGGCCAAAGTTCAGTCCCTGGTGTGCCATGTCAGCCTTGTCCCCGGGGCACACTGAGACAGCCATTGAGACTGGGTGTGGTGGCGCCAGTAATCCCAGCACTTGGGAGGCTGAAAACAGGAGGATCACTGAGTCTGATCTATGTAGTGAGACCCTGTACTGAAATACATTACAACAAAACAAAAACCTTAATAGCCAATGCTTCTCACCTCCATGGCAAAAATCTTGTAAATCATTTTTCTCAGCCTCACAGCTTCCCTTGTGGTTCAGATCTTCATCTCCTAACAGAGCTTCAGCTCAGGTCTTGCACTCGATGTCTCTTCCACGCCTCTCTGGAAGTTAACTTTCCAAACCGCAAATCCGGCCACATCCCTCTTCAGTTGAGTCAATCAGAGGCCCACACTCTCCACTTTAAAGCTCTCCGTGCCCTGGCCTCAGCCTGCTCTTCCAGGCTCACCCCTATCGTCCTACTCCATTCCCATCAACGCCTGCGATCTGTTTCCAGCACAGTGTGTGTCCCCAGCCATGTCTAACACGCCATTTGTCTCTCCCAGGATCCACTGCAGCTATGTACATGAACTGGCTTGTAAGGAACTTCACGGTATCAAGAACGCCAACGCAAGAGCAATTGTGCCGCCCTCACCCGATGAAGTCACATCGCCAAGGCCTCCTGGGAGACAGCGCCGCTTCCTGGGCCTGGCGGGGTGTGCCTGAAAGCCCAGCACTCGGAGCCCGAGGCAGGACTGAGAGTCTGAGGTCAGCCTGGGCTACACAGCAAGTTCAAGGTGAGTTCAAACTACTTGGCAAGACTCTGTCTCAAAAAGTGCTCAAAACATACAGAAAAGTGCTCTTCAAAGCCTCTACACCTCTGCCCACGCTAGGCTGCCCTTCCAGGCCTTAATCTGCCTAGTGTACTCACCCTCTGGAGCCTCAGTTTACCTCCTGTGGGAAGTCTCCACCGAGTCTCCGAGGGACACTCGTGCTTCCATTACATGGTCATCATGGCATCTGCGCCGCCCCGCTAGGCTGAAGTCTACATACTATTTATGAATCGCGAGCAATCAGTGCGGAGGCCAGTCACGCTGCAGGTTCTCAACAACCAGGATGTCTAGACTGCCCGGTGTGTCCAGGGGAGGCCAGCCTTCGCCTGCTGTGCGGGGAGAGTGGTGTAACTGTTACTGCTTACTCCTCAAAGTGGTCTAATTGAGATGACCAATTATATAATCCCCCCCTCCCCATGAACACGGTGGAATGAATAAACCAAAGAGTGGAAAAGGATTTTAGCTGACGGAATCTAGGCAGGAAAAGCTGATATAGAAAGTCTTTCAATGGGCCGGGGAGATGGCTCAGTGGAATAAGGCTTCCCTGGCAAGCACAAGGGCCTGAGTTCAATCCCCGGTTCCACAAAAAAAAAAAAAAAGAAAAAGAAAGAAAGTCTCGCAAACAGTGGGCTCGGCAACTGCTTCTCCTCCACAACAGCCTCTCCTCCCAACAGGGAAGACGGGCTCACAGAGCAGCTGCTCAGCAACCTTCACTGCAGACAAGCCGAAGAGCGTGACCTCGCCCTCCTGCAAGAAAGCGCTGAGGTTTCACGTGAATTTATGGTCCGCACCAACATGGCAGGGATCATTAAACATTATCTGTGTTTATTACTTGGTAAGACCTAGACAGCAGGCGAATTTAAAAGCTGACTTTACTACCTGATTAACTTTAGAAGTGCAGATTAGATCTTCCTCAAAACGGTAGCATAACAAATGGGGACACACACTTCAGAAATTCAGCAGAGTCTCACTACGCAGATCAGACTTGTAGTGACCCTATTTTCAGCCTCCCACCCTCTGGGATGACAGGCGTGTGCCATCCCGCCCAGCCCAGTCTCGGTGGCTGCCTCAGCATGCCCTGGGGGCGGGGCCAGCACAGCATAGGGGGATCAAACTTGGGTGGCTGTGCCTGCCGAAGCAGGCACTTCAGTCTGCTGAGCTATCTGGCCTGCCCCTGATGCACCGTTTTTTTTTAAAAAAAAAAAAAAAAAAAGAAAATCTGGGGCCAGGGAGATAGCTCAGTAGGACAAGTGCTTGCCTGGCAAGTGCAAGAGCCCGAGTTCAATCCCTGGTCCGACAAAAAAAAAAAAAAAAAAGAAAATCTCTCTTGAAATATGCACGTACCAGTTAGTTATTTTTGTTCATTAAAAAAATATTATCTTCTTGAGTGTGACATTACAACTACAAATTTATTTAAACTTCTTTTGTTACTTAAGTAGAAAAAGCCACTTTTAATGACTATTAAATAAAAAAATGGAAAGTGGGGTTATCCATGTTTTCAATAAAAATCTCTACTTCCTCGGACAGCATCATCTTCTTTGAAAGTCAAGGCAGTTCCTTGTAAATAAGGCTTTTAATAAGTTACAAATATGTAATAGGTTCTTATCCACCGTCTTCCTGACTACGTAATGCACTGTTGCATAGCAACAATTTTTTTCTGCTTCTTCTTTGTAGGAAGCCTGAGAGTCTGAAATCTGCAATGGCTTGGTTGAACCTGGGAATTTCTCTGGTACCACGGGTGCAAATATCCGTTGTAGAAGTCAGTAGCTGTTAGTGTTTTCTTAAGCATTACTGATCGGATGCCAACCCAGCCATCCTAAGGGAAAAAGGACAAAAGTGACCAGGCAGTGGTGGCAAAAGAAGACAACTAAGCAAATTATCATTCATAAAATTTTTATCATGGAAACAAATCAATAAATCTCCACTGAATGCCTAACTACAAAGTAACACATACAGTTCCTCGACTTTAAAAGTTTATTATGGGGGCTGGTGAGATGGCTCAGTGGTCTAAAGCACCTACTTAGAACAAGCTTAGCAAAGCACAGGGACTGCGGTTCAATCCCCCAGCACCACATGCTAGCCAGCCCCGCCCCCTGGTGGGCTGAGCTGGCCGCGCACACACACACACACACACACACACAAAATAAAAAAAAATTTAAAAAAAAAGTTTATTATGAAGGGGAGACAAATACACAGACCGGCATGGACCTACTTAGACACACAGAGAGTAGAATAACAAGCTGTTCATTTGCATGGTGCTGTGCAGTTTCCAGGGTGCGTCTGTATATCTCACTGGGACCGGTCATGAAAACAACCTAAAAGGCCGCAGATCCAGTACTGTCCCCATTTTAGAAAAGGAAACAAGGCCGCGGCAGGTGGGTAAATTTTTTCTAAGGTACCACAGCTGGCCAGATTCAAATCCACACTTGAATCGGCCTGATTCTTTTATGACTGCAAACTGCAAGCTGGAAAACATGCAGACCCAGCCGAGCAGGGTATAACATATGTGCCCAACCCTGACCCAGGAGAAGCTGGGAAAGATGAGGCTGCATCCTCCACCTCCAGGGGCTGCAGGTCAGATCAGTCAGTCTCCTACGTGGATTTTTTTTTTTTTGGTACAGGGTCTCACTATGCAACTTGGACTTACAGTGATCCTCCTGTTTTCAGCCTCCCTAGCGCTGGGATTATAGGCATTCACCACCACACCCGGTCAGGTCTTGGTGGCCAGCTCAGTGTGCCAGGGGGTAGGGGTGGGCATGGCATGTGGTGCCAGGGATCGAACCCTGGTCCTTGTGCTTAAGTCTGCTGAGCTTTCTCGCCAGCCCTATGTGTTTTTTTGTTTGTTCGTTTGTTTTTTGCAGTACCAGGGATTTTTTTTTTTTTTTTTTTTTTGTACCAGGGATTGAACTCAGGCCCTTGCGCTTGCCAGGCAAGCGATTATTCTATTGAGCCATCTCCCCGGCCCCTTCCCATGTTCTTAACACCCCCTTTTCACATATGCAAGGTCTAAACTGAATACCACATAACCATTAATACCCAGGATATGGAAGGGGTGTAGAACATGTCTCAGGAATACACCACTGACTTATAAACAATGGGTCTCGTCATTTTAAATTGTCCAGTAGACTTAAATCTACCATAGAGCAGGCAAAGGAAGTAGTGTGCATGCCATGCAGTAATTCAGCCAGATACTTTGCTATGAGTGTCTTTTTTTATCAAGCATAAAATCGGATTAGTAAAAAAAGTATGCCAGATATTCCACCATTTCCTAAGAAAATTAAACTAGCCCAGTGTGCCTATTTTTATGCCTGTTAATCCCAGAACTTGGGAGGCTGAGGCAAGAGAATCACCACAAATTTGACCCAGTCTGAGCTATATAGTGAGACTCTGTCTCAAAAAATAAAATAAAGGGGGCCAGGGAGATGGCGCAGTAGAGTAAGTACTTCCCTGGCAAGTGCAAGGGCCTGAGTTCAATCCCCTGTTCCAAAAAAATAAAATAAAATAAAATAAAAATAAATAAAATAAAATAAAATAATTGTCCAATTTGATCGGCAGCCAGTTTAGTGAAGTCCTAATTCAAATGATATGAACTATAAACTCGGTAAAACAAATATGACTCATCTGAAACTAAAGGAAAATGTACCTTGCAACAGACCAGCAGCATCTGGGACTGTTTGTGGTATGTGACAGATCCTGGAACAGCAGCCTGTCCTGAGAATTTTGGATCTGATGAACAGGGGCAGGGGCATGATATAAGAAAGAGAAAAATTAGTAATTATGTCACTGCACAGTACTTTTTAAAAATACGCAAACCCTAGAGAGGCAGCACATACTGGCACTGCGCACTTGCTCATGTCCTGGCCTTGTAATTCAAGTCCACCATGGAGCCTCGGCAGGCACGCTGCACATCACAGGCAGAAAGGAAGGCGCTCCGTGCACATGCGAAGCTACCAGCCCTCCACCACGAGTCCCAGTGATCGGCTAAGGTACTCAATGTCAAGTTCTATTGTTGCCATGCGAGGGTAAAAGCCACCTGCCACGGGATGACTTGAGGCCAGGACCTGGGCTGCCCTACATGCCACCCAGCAGGCCCGGCCGCCCAGCTCCCAGGAGCACTGGGCTGAACCGCAGCCTGGTGGTTTGTCTCTTCCTCACTGCACCACCAGGAGCACTGGCAGGCACTGGAAGGAGCCTTGACACAGAGAGCTGCGCTTGGGTCTACCTCTCCCTACTGGACAGACCCACTGTGGTGATCACCAGGATAAGATCAGGAAAACCCTCTGCAATCCTGGAAAGCCTTAATGCAGGGAATCACAGCCTAACACGGCCCAGGGATACTGCTCTAGCTGGGAGAGTCCAACCCGGCTTGCCTCCCCCAGCCCCAGCCTGCTGTCCAGCAGAAGCGCTGCTCTGTGCAGGGAGCTCAGCTCAGCACTGAGGCTGCCACTGGCAAGCAGGAAAGGAGACGACAGAGGACAAGCAAGCTTGCAGGCCCTGGAGATACCAAAAATTGACAGCAGACACTTCAAGGACTTTGCTCACTGGGATACAAGGCTAACAGAAAACTTCAACCACAGATGTCTGTTCAAACTTCCCCTTTGCCAACCTTATAAAAGGGGCGTATTTCTCTTTGTTCAGGGCAGACAGCTTTGTGGCTCTCTGCCTACCGGGACCCAGGTAATTACACATAGGCCTAGGTGCTTCCACAAAAGCCTGTTGTTCAGTCTCTTGCCTCCTGTTTTGTGTTTCTAGTTTCCTCAGACTACCTACTTCCCAGGTGCTTGGGATAATTAAATAAGAAAATACACTTGAATGGCTTATTCTCTGTAAAGAATGACAATTAAGTGAACTTTGAGTGCTGTTACAACGGAACTAAACAAACTATAAGGATGCTTATTTTTAGTAAATGTAACCTTTGGTAAAAAGACTCATTTTCAAGTCAATTATAGTGAAAAGATCTTCCATGTCAGCTATTCAAAAGTTAGTACCAGCAAGGACTGAGCGGTCCACTTCTACGAAATCCAGGAGTTTAATGGTACTGCCCATCCAGAGCGTCTGCAGCGGACTCTGCAAGGAACATTGAAGAAGGAATGAAGAGGGCCGCACCTCCGCCCCACGCCCTTCTCGGCCACGGGTGTGTGGTTCCGGCCACGGGTGTGAGGCTCCACTCTGAATGCTTCCCCCCGAGCAGGAACGGGGCTGCATCAGGAAATGCTGAGGAGCGGAACATGAACAGGACCTTCTATTTCAGTCTGTACAGGACTTATAAGATCATAAACATTATTTTTAAATCAGTGCTTCTGTCCAATTAAATACTTATGTTCACTACAAAAGATGCAAACAGGCGCCTGAGGCAAGAGGATCACCACGAATCTGACTCAGCCTGAGCTATGTAGCAAGACCTTGTTTCAGAAAAATAAAATACAATAAATTGTGGTATTCATCCAATCTGATGGGCAGCCAGTTCAGTGAAGTCCTAATTCAAATGATATGAACTATAAACTCAGTAAAACAAATATGACTAATCTGAAACGAAAGGAAAAGATTTATGTTAAGCATTTATGTTTAAAAAAAAAATGGAGAGGGGCTGTTGAGATGAATCAGTGGTCTAAAGCACCTACTTAGAACAAGCTTAGCAAAGCACCAGGGACCACGGTTCAATCCCCCAGCACCACATCCCAGCCAGCCCCGCCCCCTGGTGGGCTGAGCTGCCCCCCCCACAAATAAATAAATAAAAATTTAAAAAAAAATGGAGAAAGTGAAACTATTCTCAGCCCTATACATAACCACTGTTACCAGTCTGAGGTATATTTCCTTGTATTTTTTTCTTTTCTTTTTTGGTACCAGGGAATGAACTCGGGACCTTGCACTTGCCAGACAGGCGCTTATGCCACTGAGCTACATCCCCACCCCTCCTTCTAATTTTTTCTATAACTACTGTTACAAAATTCTAGAATGTGCTATTTTAAACCACAGCCAAATTCTGATCCCTGCACACTTAGCTACCTCTCCTGGACCGACTGCTGCATCTCATTTTATGACCACATCGTCACTTCCACAACCGGTTCCTTTATAACTGGACACTTCAGTTGTTTCCAATTTTTTGCTATTATGAACAAATTATCATTATAAAATTATAAAAATTTCAATATATCAAGAATTTTGTTAAAAGATTTTCAGAGTGTGTATGCACAAAAGAAAAATATATTTTATATATGTCCCCCACAAGCTAATGCTCAAACATACTGCTCATAATCTAGCCATTTAATGAAGATATTTATTTTGTCTTATTTCCAAAGTCGTCTTGGGTAGGATGCTAGCTAGCTCCGCCATACGAGATGCATGAATGAACAGGATAAATGTGTCTCTTGCGAGAGAAGTCTGAGATGTTATGCAATCACAGACATGGGAATGAAGAGTTCACAATAATGTAAGACTGTCATGGACAGTCCGTCTCAGCCTGCGCCCCGGTGTGAAGCAGCACCTTTATCACATACGTCCCAGACCTGAGATCTCCAACTCGACTCGACTCTGTTCATAAAGATGAACACAGGCTGGGGGACGTGGGGCACACCTGCAAAGCCAGCACCCTGGGAGGCCGAGGCAGGACAGCTGCAGTTTCAATTCTGCCTAGATAACTGGGAACTCCCTGTGTCCATAAAGGGGTTGCTAGAGATTTGCTCAGTGCAAAGCCCCTGGGTTTAATGCCAGAGTGTATTTGTGTGTGTGTGTGTGTGTGTGTGTGTGTGTGTGTGATTACATACCAGGAAATAAGTTCTCACAATCTCTCAGTTTTCCACACTGAATAATCTCCTTTTGGACTGTTCCTCTATTTCCTAGATCGAGAAAGCAAGGCCCAGAGAATGCAGCTGTTTCCCCAAGGGCGGCACCAGGATGAGGTGATGCACTGACTCGCAACTCAGTTCTCTTTCCTTTCTTCTTATCCCTGTGCTTGGCATCAAACCCTGGGCCTCTTGCCTGTGAGGTACCAGCTACAGAACTGGGCTACATCCCCAGCTCCCCTCCACCTCCACTCTGGCCCTCTACTCACCCAGAGATAAGAATCAATATCATTGCCTGCAAATTATTTTTTTTTTTTCTGATACTGTGGATTGAAGACCACAGGACCTTAGCACCAAGCTACATCCCATCACTTTTTTATTTATTTTGAAACAGGGTCTCACTAAATTGCCAAACTAAGCGGGAACTTGTGATCCTCCAGCGTGAGCCTCCCAGACTACCGTGATCACAAACGCGTCTACCATAAGCAGCTGCACTTTTTTCTTTCATAGGAATACATGGATTATTAAAATATGCTTGCCAACTAGAACAGATCTGTACTTACTTAGTGTAGCATTCGTGCCAGGAACACACAGAGAAAGCCCGACAGCCACGCTACCTTATCACCAGAGCACTGCTGGAGGAAGGCAAAGAGCATCCAGCAGCCCCCCATCAGTGCTGACTAAGTCACACGCTGGAGTGGACGTAAGTTCACACTGTCCTCTCGCTCGCGCTCAACAGCTGCACACACGATCAGGAACCCCAAGGTAGAGGAGAAAAGGCAGAAGCGGAGAGAACACAAGGGTCTCGCTCTCGGTTAGGGAAGGTCGGCTCTAGGACTCAAGCTCCACCTTTAGGCTCAGTGGAAACTCTGACAGCACAAAGCTTTTCTCAGTGGCCGGGCAGGGTGAGCTGCAGAAGACTCAAGTGAGGGACAGCAGGAGGGCTCGAGGGTGGCTTGGGCCTCTCAGAAAGCGGTCTGCTTAGCACCTCCACAGGGACATCTTCTAAGGAGCTCAAACTTAACAGGGCCAAAACTGAGCTACTGAGGTCCCTCCCCACATCTATGTCCCTCGGGACATTCTTAACACAAAAGGTCACACTATCTACCCAGCTGTCAAAGGGCTACGAATACCCTAAGTTCTTGCTAGGGCCTTGATAAATTGCTAAACTGTCCAGGCTGGGGCTTGAAGTTGTGATCTTCCTGCCTCAGCCTCCCAGGGTACTGGGATTACAGGCACGGGCCACCACACTGGGCTAATTTCTTCAGCTTTAAAATGTGACAATAGTATAACACGAGGTATAATCCTCACTGATGAACTTGGCGTGCTACAGACATCCCGGGCTAATTCCCTGTTGTGCCCAATATTACTAATTTCAGAGGTGGTCCGTTAAAATCCACCTATCATACTTGGTAGGGCAGCTTCCAAATAATATAAGCAACTATACAAATAAAGGAAAAAATAAACCAGCAAATGAGAATTGAACTCAGATATCTTAACAAACTGAAATTACATTTTTTCTTTGTACAGCGCATGTGGAAATCAATGACCTAAGAATCAGACTACAGCCTGGTATGGCAGTGCACACAAAAACCTCAATGAATGTGTAAAAGTGCATCCTGCCTTCCCCACTTACCATGTTTCCAATGGCGCGGTACAGTCTGAATATTTGCTCTGAGGTTTGTTCTTCCCATTTTATACAGCTGGTATCAGCAGAAATCTTAGGTGCTACAAGACAAGGCCAAGAGCGAGAGCGCACGTCAGCTTCAGCGGCCATGCGCTAACTTGTCCTGACATTGAGCAACAAGCACAAGAGATTACCGCAGGCCCTCAACTTTTGCGTAGGTTTAACATTTCCTACAAAATAAAGTACAAACAAATACTTAAAAAAAGAATGAACCACTTTATACCACAAGAACATAAAATGCCCTTTCTCAAGGTCCACATCAGGCTGTACACAAGTAAAACAAGCTGGGCCGGGGAGATAGCTCAGTGGTCTAAGCACCTGCCTGGTAAGTACAAGGACCTGAGTTTAATTCCGGGTGTCACACGCCATGCCGGTCCCAGAAAGAACCCCAGGCACGCCCCAGCAATGGAAACCGGGCATGGTGCTGCATGCCTGTAATCCCAGCACTGGGGAGGTTGAGACAGGAGGATCACTATGAGTCTCAGCTCACAGCAAGATGCTGTACCAAATAAATTAAAAAATAAAACATGTATAAAGAGTTTTAAAAACAAATGACAAACTTCAAGAATTTGCAGTGTGCATCATAGCTGGCTAATTTCTGGACTATGTACTGCTAGCAGCTTGGAAGAAACAAACTCCTGATAGAAAAATGGGCTAATGCTACGATTCCTCCCAGAAAAAAAGAAATGAGAAAAGTCCCCAAACAAATGAAAAGGTCCTCAATTTCACTCACAGGAATAACACACATTAAAACTACCCTGAGACACAATTTCTTAGCTATTAGATTCATAAGTACTGTGCACACAAACTTAGGGTTAGCAATAGTATTTGAAACAGCGAAAGACTAGAAACAAGCCAATGCCCAGCCCGAGAGGATCTGTTGAACAAATTATGATACGATCATAACTGAGAACTAGCTGCTATTAAGCAGAAAGAGGAAAATCTCTTCTTCCTGACAGGAGGTGGCCTCCACGATACACTAAGGAAATAGGATGGGGACATTTTATAGTGTGTATTTAATAGTGTGCCTTTTATGTCACCTTTCTGTAAAAGAAAAAAAGGGAAATAACTACATACATTATGTTGACAAAAGCAGATACTGGAAGGTTAAATCAGAACTAGCAGAAACGGGGCTGGTGAGATGGCTCAGTGGTCTAAAGCACCTACTTAGAACAAGCT